GTTGAAGATGTATTTTTTCTCTCCCATCCATCAAATCATTTCTATTGTTGTCCTTGTTCAGGTCAAGTTTAGGTAGTCCTGTTGGTGAGGCCTTACGGGTGTGGCTTCTGACATTACTAGTAGACACAGTCTCTTAACAAACTCCCCTCTTCTCTGGAATTTACGCTCTTTCAGCTCCCACTTCCAAAATGATTCCTGAGCCTTAGGTGTGTGAGTTGTATTGTGGATGTATCTATTGGAACTCGGATCCACAGCCGTAAATCTGAAAAGAGGAAAGACATGTATGTGGAAGGTTTCTATTGTTTTGGCTTTTTTGTTTGTTTCTTTTCAGGGGCGGGAGGATGAGATGAAAAGGAAAAAGGGTATAATTATATTTTAATCTCAAAAAATCACAGAAATAATAAATTCTGTATTTTCAAGCAGAGAACAGAATCATTTATTAAAAGTATAAAATAATCTATCTATATTTTAAAAGTTAATAACAATAATTAAGTGAATAAAAATGAATACATTGGACAAAGCATCACTAAGGTACTTTCATCTGAACATTAGCTGAAATCTCAATATTTTCACTTGCATTGTGATTTCTCTCCCTTATGATAACTGTAGTCAGTCAGTGTAGTCCTTTATGTTTTTCACTTTGTTGTTGTTTGTTTGAGACAGGGTTTCTCTGTGTAAATTCCCTGACTTTCCTGGAACTTGTCTGTAGACCAGGCTGGCCTCAAACTCACAGAGATCCTCCTGTCTCTGCCTCCCTAGTACTGGGACTATAGGCATGTGACAACACTGCCTATCTTACTATTTTAATTTTAAATAATTTTCATTTTTTTTGATATTTTTTTTTACAATGTGTTTGAGTTTTCTTTTTAGATGTATTTACCTGCACCATATGCATGCCTGTTGCACAAGAGTGTCAGAAGACTGTAAAGTTTGTCCTGGAAGGAGTTATGGGTGGTTTTGAGCCACCATTGGTCCCTGAGAAGAAACATGTATCCTCTGTAAGAACAATATGTGCTCTTAACTGCTGAGACATCTCTCCAGACACTCTTCTCTTTTTCTTCTTCTTTTTTTTTTTTTTAAAAAAAAAACTTGTTTTAATACAGGCATTTGTATACTAGCTTCTGTTATCTTCATACTGTTATCTTCATACTGGTATTGTATCCTCTACTGTTAACATTAATGACTGACCTTTACCTGGGATATTACCTTGAATCAGTTCTTGGTTTTATTTTTGAATGTTTTACTCTATGACAGTGATTACTACAATAATGTCATAACTATTAATGAAAAAAAGATTTTACACAGTTTTGTGATCATGTTGAGAGATCATGAGTGGTAAAATTTTTAAGAAATAGCCCTGATTCATGGTCATAAGGAAATTAACTGTGCTTCTGATAATTCTGAAGGTACCAGTCAAGCTCCTGAGAAATTTCTTCCACAAATGTAAAATTCCAGTAATAGATAGTCAATTTAGTTTTGGAATTCAGGAATACCTGTCTTACCCTAGCTTTGACACTGTACCACTTGTTTCTGTTTGTGATTTTTTCCCCTTTCCTTTTCTTTTAAAAATCTCTTTTGATGAATTTTGTCCTAACATAGGGCATGGAAATTAAAAACAGTTCCATTTATTTAAACCACATGCTTCATTATTTCAAATTCATGTAAAAATAGGAATTAGCAACTTTCAAATATAAGTGAAGCGGCCTGGGATACACAGTTGGGGAGAAATGTAAACTAATGTCAGCCCTCACCAAACAGCACGAGGACAAGGGACAGGAAATGGTTCCACTGAAGTCCCACTCATTGAAATAATGAGTTTTCTGGGGCCGCTCACAGGAGCACGGACAACTGAATGTCACTGAACCACCAAAAAGCCCGCCTTAGGCTGAGTGCTAAGACAGAAAGGCCGCAGTCTCGGGTACTGCAGAGTGCGCAGGGCAGCTGGCTCCTGAGAGAGTCTCTCGTCCTCAGCAGTGCTTATTTCCTGTACAACCGTGGGTATATGTGCAAGTGCATGCTGGGTGGGTGAGAGACTTAGGAATGTGGGCAGTTTCAGAGACGAGCTAAGACTCGTGAGTTGTGTGTTTCTGTCATCTTATGGATCCTTCTTCCATCTTCCTGAGTATAAAGTAAAGATCGTTTCCCTAGGATGAGATAAGTCCACTTAGGGGAAATTCTGGACAGTTTATATTTTACAGTGTATACATAATATTTGTTTTGAAAAAGCACCGTGATAAGTATTTCTTTTCTATATGTCAGTATAAAGTAAAAATGTATCAATGCTAAATATATAAACAGCCCATTTTCTACATACGAATTGTTGAAAAATAAGCGTGCTCAGAGTTATCCTTAATACTTTAAAAAGTCCATGTCAGTCACCCAATGTAGGAAGCACATTCTAGGAACGGATCATTTTCGTGAAAAAGATTCTGAATTCCTTTTAAGCTACATTTCTTTGAGATTATGGAAGAAAGTCAATCTTTCCCTGCCACAACTAAGCCGATTAATAAAGTGTGACAATAGAGTGACACAGTTCTAATATATTGTTGGGAATATTATTTAACTCACCTTTTAGTTACTTAAGAAGGGAAACAACACATTTATAACTGGATACTATGAGTTTAAAAACATAGAGAGGAAAATGACAGTGGCGGAAAAATAGACGATAGATATTGTATTGTTACTATTATCACTGCTGCAGTGGGTTAGTTGCTGGTGCTGTTTACACAGCATACTGCTCTTGCCTTCTGGTATCCTTATCTGTCTGCCAGCATCTCCTTTGTTCTTTACTTTCTTTCACCACCATCTTCTACACACGCACACACACACACACACACACACACACACACACACACACACACTACCATAAACATTTTGTGCATTTAAATGTGTATGCATTTCTTTATCTACCTATCTTGAGCTCATATATCAGAACTGTCTATATCCTGGTGAGCAAGTCTAGGGAATGTAGCTACTTTCTTCAGTTACATTGGAAATGATTGCCATAAACAAGGTCATTCTGTTTTTTTTTTTTTTATTTTAAATCCACATATCTTATGCATTATTTGGAAGTAACCAGTTGAATGTCCTGCCCCAGAGAAAACATTTTAGTGCTTTTTATCAATATATGGAAGGAGAATATTACCATGCTGTGCACTTTTGTTTTATGTATCCCTCAGCACAAAGAAAACTTTTATGATGTTTTGCCATTAATGTGTTTGTTTTAGGAGTGCTTTAGTTCAACAATCATTTTTCTTTCTCCTTTGATTCATGGATTCTCTAAGGCCCTTGCTTCTTAATGCAAGGTGTATTGATATACTGATTTAATATAGTAACAGTCTTCATTGAGATATAGCTCTGTAATGCCACTGGGAGCAGTGAGCCAGCTAAGATGCTTGCAATATTAAAATCAATTAAAATCCAAAAAATGTTAAATTGCCCTGTATGATGGAATCAATTTGTTGAGTTGGCTATGGAGCAATTAAGGGAGAAGAAAATGGACAGGGATTGCATGTTTCTCTTGTCTTTTTATCTGAGGGTACAGCTCTGATAAAGCATTATCTGTGTTTCTTACTGATGACCTAGCTAAAATTTCCTCAAAAATGATTGCTTAATCCTGCATATCTCTATGTGGTTACACTTTTTTAAGATTCAAAATTTTAGCTGTCCAGATTGGACACTGTTATTAGCTTAAAATATTGAAATTATACAAGAATGTTTAAAAGCACTGGATTACAGTTGAATGTAGCAGGGGATGGGGTTTCTCTCCTCTTCATCATCTATAAATGACTTTAAACCTGCAAAGGCTGGGTTGGAAAATATTCCAAAATGTTTCTGTTTCAGTTCTTTTAAAAATTGAAAGTGTTTTAAACTGTTTGCATTTATTTCTTAAAAATCTACAAATAATTACTTATTAGTGTGAGTAGTAGCAATTAGGGAGTCATATGATGGAATATTAAATAACTATTTTGAATTCTTAGGAATACATTGTGTGAAGTTCAAATTATATCCTATATAAGAACGAATGTTGGAAGGCCTTTGCACCTGAGTAAATCAATAGTATAAATAGTAATGATGTAGACGCCTATAAAGTTAAAAATATGGTCATTGAGTGGGCTGAGATTTTTAACGTGCTAGGAATAGAGCTAATTTCTTATCTAAAACTCTTGTGGTGGTGTACTCAGAGTAGGACAAATATGTAGACTGTCCTTCAATGTTTATTTAAAAAAAGAATATGGGTTACTTGTGTATAATTATAATAGCAGAAAGTATGCATCATTTCTGAGAGTAGTTCCAAGTGTGTGTTGCTGCCAAAAGTGGCTGAAGAAGAAGAAGAAAAAAAAAAACCTATATAGAGTTTTACTTCCATTTCATTCTCACTCCTAAACTGTACAGACAGAAAACATAAGTGTCACATGTAAGGGAAGGACCAATGCCCGGCAGCAAGATGGCCAGCATCCAATGAACTAAATGAGAGTGGAGGATTTTTGTCTCATGATGGCTTTTTTTTCTTGCATTTTTTAATGTTACAGATCTTTGCTTGTATATTGCAGTTTTCTATTTTCTATGTGTGCGAATGTGTGTTTCTGAATTTGTATGTGCTTCTTGTACTTTTCCTCATTTCCCTTTTTTCATTAGTTAGTTTTTTTATTTAATTTTTTTTTCATTTTACATACCAACCACTGTTCCCCCTCTCTCCACTTCTCCCATTTCCCCTGCTACCTCCTCACCATCCCAACCCCCATTCACTCCTCCTAGGGGATAAGGTCTCCCTTGGGTAGTCAACACAGGCTGGCATACCAAGTTGGGGCAGGACTAAGCCCCTCCCCCCTGTATCAAGGCTGAGTGAGGCATCCTACCCTAGGCAATGGGCTCTAAAAAGCCAGTTCACTTACCTGAGATAGGTCCTGGTCCCACTGCCAGTAGCTCCACATACTGCCCAAGCCACATAACTGTCACCCATATTCAGAGGGCCTAGTTTGGTCCCTCGCAGGCTCCCCAGCTGTCAGTCATGGTCCATGAGCTCCCACTAGCTTGGGTCAGCTGTCTCTGTGATTTTTCCTATCATGATCTTGATTCTGCCTTGCTCCTCCTTCTCTTCATCTGATCTCCAGGTGCTCGGCCAAGTACTTGGCTGTGGGTCTCTGCATCTGCTTCCATCAGTCACTGGATGTAGGTTCTATGATGACAGTTAGGGTAGTCATCAGTCTGAGTACAGGGGAAGGCTGGTTCAGGTACACTCTCCAGCATTGCTAGGAGTCTTAGCTGGGGACATCCTTGTGGGTTCCTGGGGATTTCCCTAGCTCCAGATTTCTCATTAACCCTATACTGGCTCATGAGTCAAGATACCTCTTTCATTGCTCTCACTCTCTGTCCCTGCCCAAACTCGGCCATCTGGATCTCTCATGTTCAGGTACCTCCATCTCTTCTCTTCTACTCTCCCCTCTCAGTTTACCCCAGAGATCTTAACTCTTTTCACTTTCTAGGGCAATCTATGAATGTCCCTCTTAGGGTCCTCCTCTTTACCTAGCTTCTCTGGGGTTGTGGATTGTAGCCTGTTTATCCTTTGTTTGTGTCTAATATCCACTTATGAGTCAGTACATACCATGTTTGTTCTTCTGGCTCTGGATTACATCACTCAGGACGATTTTTTTTTTACCCTAGTTCCATCCATTTGCCTGCAAACCTCATGATGCCATTTTTTTAAATGCTGCATAGTACTCCATTGTGTATATGTACCACATTTTCTTTATCCATTCTTCTGTTGAGGGGCATCTAGGTTGTTTCCAGATTCTAGCTATTATGAATAATGCTGCTCCATACATAGTTGAGGAAGCGTCCTTGTGGTATGATTGAGCATCTTTTGGGTATATGCCCAAGAGTGGTATTGCTGGGTCTTAAGGTACATTGATTCCCAATTTCCTGAGAACCACCATACTAATTCCCAAGGTAATAACTGTACAAGACTGCACTCCCCTCAGCAGTGGAGAAGTGTCCCCCTTGATCCACATCCTCTCCAATATAAACTGTCATCAGTGTTTTTTATCTTAGCCATTCTGACAGGTGTAAGATGATATCTCAGAGTCATTTTGATTTGTGTTTCCCTGATGGCTAAAGGTGTTGAGCATTTCCTTAAATATCTTTTGGCCATTTGAGATTCTTCTGTTGAGAACTCTCTGTTTAGCTCTGCACCCCATTTTTTTAATTTGATCATTAGGTATTTGATGCCTAGTTTCTCTCTCTCTCTCTCTCTCTCTCTCTCTCTCTCTCTCTCTCTCGTGTGTGTGTGTGTGTGTGTGTGTGTGTGTGTGTGTGTGTGTACATATGAATTCCAGGATTCACTTGTTTTCAGAGGGTAACTTACAGAAAGTGGTTCTCTTAATCTACTCTGTACATTCCAGGGTTCAAACTCATGTCATCAGGATTGGTAGCAAATACCTTTCCCTTTTGAATCATATAATTATTCCATCCTTTATCTATTGCTATCTGTACTCTTCTGTATCTGGCAAGTCCCTTCACAGGCATGATGCTTTATCCATCTTTCTTTTGTCAAGATCTTAAAAATATGATTTATCACAAGTATTTACTTTAAGACAGACTTAAGAGATGAAGAGAAGAAAAGAAGGGAATGTGGTCCAGGTTGATCCAAGGGAAGAGTCACCCATCATGTCTAGGTTCCACTGATTACCATGTTGTCCCTCATAACAATCAGTTTGATTATTGTATGTGATTTAAAGTTACAATTCACAGGCACCTTTGTATTCTTAAGAGGATCTTACTAATGTATAGCCAAAACCACAAGTCATATTTGGGGTACAGAAAAATTCAGCCTGTGGAAGAATGTAATGCATTTGACTGCAACACAAGGAGCTGAAGGAATACCCTTTTTCAAGGATGTTGCTCAATGATGCCTAGCTTTGTCTATTACTTGATCAGCCATCAAAACTATCAGGAAAATATTGTATACATTAATTTGATTCTCCTCTTCTACTGTGACTATAAACTTTTGTGCTACTGATACATTTGTCCAAATGCAGACAGCAAACAGTTCCTTATAATACAAAGTTAAATAAAGCTGTGACAACATGGAGTTGGCAGACTAAAATTTCTGGTGATTCTCTAAGCAAGTAATTTATTATGAATCATTAAGATTTAATCAAAACTGGAATGCGATGCTTAAGAAAATATTTGGCTAAAGTTAACAAAATTAGAATTGAAAGCTTTAGAGGAGCCTAAGCTTTTATTAGTTATTTGATCATTACACCATCATGGTTCAATAGTTAGTACAGTTTTCAAATGCCTAGCTAACTCTAGGAAGATTACAATTTTCACTGTAAAATGCAACTTCATAATTAATGTATGGACAAATAATTATCAAGAAATATTATTTTAAAGATCAATTTAAAGAGGGACCCAATATGATGGGTCATATTGGGTAAAGTCACCTATCTCTAAACTTGATGACCTGAGAAAAGTCCCCAGGGTATACTTGGTAGAAGAGAGGAACGAACTTGTTCTCCACATGTGTGTTGTGGCCTATGCTGCCCAAAACACAACCAAAAATGCAAAAAGAATTAAAAAGATATCTTTTAAAAGGAGAATTCTATTGTGAAATGTACATTTTCACCAAGATCTCAAAACTTTCCTGCTCTGGTCTCATGTAAAATCAAGAATCAAAATTAGATTACAACAATCCAATGTCAAGGAGTATTATATCATACAAACACTAAAGACATAGGTTTAGTGAGAAGAAAATGTTGTGCAATAGATATTAGCATGTTCAAACACCCCAGGGAAAAATACTGAGTTTTACTTCCAAACTTGCCATACTGATAATTGATCTTCATTTGCACTATTTTACACTCCAGAATCTAGATGATACACAAAAGAGTGGAATTGTGTAATTAGATCACAGCTGACAGAAAAACCCCAAATGATGAGGTCTCTATAATGTTTCTCTAGATAGAAGGAAGGCAGGAAGATTAGAAAGCATACTATCCAAAGCTTTTTCTTTAGATTTTGAGGCTACCTTGAACACAGGAAGTAGTGAAATAATAAGAAGTTGAGGGTAGGTTCAGTTCTTATGTGAGGAGAGGTCACTATGCTCTAGGCATATAGCACCTCTGCTTCCTGTCTTCTCTCCGACAGCACTAGCTTTTGTTTTTTCTCCACTAGAAATAACCTTTCTTATCCCCTATTCCTGAATCTTTACCTAGGGTTTATGGTAGTTTGAAAGAAAATTGTCCCCAAAGGGAGTGGCACTATTAGGAGGTGTGAGTTTCTTGGAATTGGTGTGGCCTTGTTGGAAGAAGTATGTCACTGTAGGGGTGGGCTTTGAAGTCTAATATATGCTCAAGCTACACCTAGTGTCTCAGACCACTTTCTGTTGCCTTCTTATCAAGATGTAAAACTCAAGCCGGGCAGTGGTGGTGCACACCTTTAATCCCAGCACTCAGGATGGAGAGACAGGCAGAACTTTGTGAGTTCCAGGCTACCTTGGGCTACAGAGAGAGTTCCAGGAATGGTACCAGAGCTACATAGAGAAACCCTGTATTGAAAAACAAAAGAAAGAAACGAAAAAAAGTAAAACTCTCAGCTCCTTCTTCAGCACCACATCTGCCAACATGCTGCCCTGCTGCCCACCATGATGATAATGGACTAAACTTAAATAAACTATAAGCTGCCACCACAATTAAATGTTTTGCTTTATCAGAGTTGCAGTCATGGTGTCTCTTCACAGCAATAGAAACCCCAATTAAGACAATGTTCTTGGAACTTATTCATAAACTTTTCGTCATTTTACAACACTCACCTTTCTCATTATGTGACACACATGTGCCCCGATACCAAGCACATCATGCTATTCTTCTTTTCCTCTCATTCATCCATATCTGCAACTCTGAATTCCAAAGCAAGCTTCTGAAGATGGAAGTATGTGTTAGCTTCTCTCATCCCCAAATCAATATTGTTTGTTCATATCTGGGCTGAGAAAATACACTAAGATAGTGAAAAAAATAAACAAATGAGGAGACATTGAAATGGGTGAAGAAAAATATGTTACTTTGCTGAATTTAGGATTAAGCCAGCAAACAAGGATAGTGTGTACACCAATTGAAAGGCATTATAAAGACGTTGAGGGCTGGAGTGAAGGCCTCAGGGTTACACAGTTGAGTAATGTTCTTGCAGGGGATGAATTTTTAGTTCTTAGCCCTCGTGTCAGGGTATTCATATCCACCTATAAATCCAGATCCAGGAGATGGGATATCGTCTTCTGGATTCTACATGCACCTACACAATGTGCACACACACACACACACACACACACACACACACACACACACACACACACGCACAGAGGGGGTGTAGTAAATAAAGCAGCATTACAAATAAAATTATAAATATCTGTTATGTGGCTCTCAGGGTATATGCCCATAAGTGAACCAGCTATGTCACTAGGTATTTCTATTTTTTTAATCATTTGAGGAATCTCCAAACATATCGTCTTAATTTGTACCCTTACCAATAGTGAATAAGATTCCCTCTCTCTTCAAACCCTCTCCAACAGGTGTTGCCAGATTTCTTGATAGTAGCCATTCTGACTGGGGTGAGGTAGTGTCTCAAAATAGTTGAAAATATGGTACATACATGACATGTAGAATTATTCAGCTCTAAAGAAAAAGAAAGTCATACAATCAGGAGGAAAATTGGTGAACTTAGAATACATAATATTATGTAAGGCCACACAATCTTAGAATGAAAGAAAAAAATGTTCTCCCACAAATGCTGATTCTAGCCGTGTGTGTGTGTGTGTGTGTGTGTGTGTGTGTGTGTGTGTGTGTGTGTGTGCAAGTGTACATTTGGGTATAATAATATAATATGTGGAAAGCATACCAATAAGTGGTAAATACTAGAGGATGAAGTGGGACTGAATGCAGGTAACAGACACTGTAGTATTGAAAGAAGACATAGCATTAGATGCTTTTATATTTTTAACTCTGACAAGGATTTATTTTTGGTGGTAGCTAAGTCATAATAATATATTTGATGGTGATTGTGGAAATCAAAGGTGAAGCTCTGAGCTTCACAATGAATATTCCAAGGTACAGAAATTCATTGAGCTGTATAAACATTGGATCTATTTAATTCAATGTGTCAATGGATATTCCAAGGGTACAGAAATCCATTGAGATGTATAAACATTGGGTCTATTTAATTCAATGTGTGATTATTTTATTTGCACATTCTTTAGGATAAAGTGTTAATAAATTAAAGAATGATAAAATTGATCTAAAAAAGAAGTTCATTGTTCCAAAATGAATATAATTGAGAGTATTGTAAGCTACTTCAATAGACCTTAAAAAGCTATACTTAGAGGGCCATCCTTAAATTCATAGCATGAAGTAGAGTCTATTTTCATATCACCTATTTGACATTAAACCTAATCTTAAGCATTTTGTAAAAGAGTATTGTTTATCAAAGAACTAAGACCTGCATATTCAGGTATATATTTTCTCTTTCAATGTGTAACTTAAAAATATACAAACATGAGAGAAATATCAGATTATCCATAACACATGAAAGCTTTACTTAGTAGGTGTCATGCATATGTACCTTTATTATCTATTATTAGTACTTCATATCTAATCTGAAACCTTCTGATCATATAATTTCATACCTTGGACAATAATATACAGTATTAAATCCTCAATTTTGAAACTGGAATTAATTTCATTGATCACCAGTAGGGTGATCTGAGGATGAAGTGGAGACAAGTGATGAATAACCTCTTCCCAGGTGCTTCAACATCCAGTTGTATATACATCTGCAACTACAATTGGAAAAGAAAGAGGAAGAAATGACAGCAGATGATTTGCCACTGGGATCCTCAGACAGCAGAAGGAAGAGAAGGAAGAGAATGACCCGCAGACGTTTCTCTCTGAAGCTGCCGGATAGACAGCATCTGTTTCTGACATTTGCTCATCACTTACAGACGTAGAAGCCAAAATTGGAAACACAATTGATATTGATAGTGGCTGGCTGCGGAAGGGGAATTGTGCTACGTGCAACAAATGATGAAGAAATTAAGGGCACTGCCCTGAAAGCATTACCTCATCACCCTCTGCTGGGCTTCACACTGTCTTAACAGAAGAGTGGCCCTTTGGCATCCAGCATTCAGAGTGTTGCACAAAAGACTGAAAGATAATCATAGATATGTTATTTTCTACTTACAAGCATGATGATCTGCATTTAATTCAAAGGAGAAATATCTAGAAATACCACACAAATTGACAGACTGTTTAAAAACTAAAATAAATTGTAACTATAAAAATGAGAACATTGTACCCACAACAGATGATGTGGTTTAAAGGTGAACCCTCTTGAAGCAAATAATAGCCAAGAAATTAATTTGGCCTTATGGCAGAGTCAATTGGTACAGGGTCAAGGGCCAGATGTTGTTTGGACCCTGAGAATATGGGTCATGTTTGCTGTACAGACGTAATAATAAGCAAGTCCCATGTTTGCTAAAACATGGGAAAAATAAAATAAATAAGTCATTACAATGCAGTGCTGAATTATATATGTATTTACATGGATATAAAATATACTGAAAATGAGATGTTATGTCTGAAGGGATAAATGAAGGATGAAATGGAATATTCTCTACAGAGATGTCTAGAAAGAAGGCTTTATCAAAAGTACACCCCATCAACTACACTGATTTAATCATTACACATTGTATACATGTATGGAATTACCAAATATTACCATGTTGATCAATTAAACTAATGGTGGAAAGATAAAACATGAAAAATATAAATTAAAATGTCCAAGTCAAAAGAGAAATAAATTATAAAAGAGATCTCATCAGCGGCAAGGAAGAGCCTAAGAGCACGGAGAGAAAAGCTGACTTCAGATAATCAGTACCTAGTAAGGGTTTCGAAGAGAACTAGGGTTGGTAAGGTAGCTCAGAGGGTCAAGAAGGATGCTGTCAAGTGTGAATTCCTGAGACTGACCCCTGGTGCCCACATAATGGATGAAGAGAATCAGTTCCCACAATCTGTCCTCTCCTATTACTTCCTTGTGTGGACCAGTTTTTACAAGTGCCCACCCAATAGAAAAACAAGAAACAAACAAGCAAACTAATAAATATTGTAAAGGGGGATTAATTTATAGTGTGTTATTTATTGCACAGCAGATGACTATAGATAAATACATAATTATGTATAGGTTCAAGAAACTACAAGGAAAGATTTTGTATCTTTTTACCACAAATAAATGATAAAGTTTTAAGGTGATAAATATATTTAACATGAATACTATAAAATGTATACATGTATTGAAATATCATATGCTATTAATTTTAGTATCAAATAATTATTTTGATTGATGTATTGATACATTTATATATTACAGCAGTATCAATGATGTAATTATATATAAAACAGGCTAATAGCTAATAGATTTTGTTGATCAACATGCATATTTTAAAATATTTTTAACAATTTAGTTGCATGTATGTGGGTATGTGTGCACATGTATGAGAAAGCCTGCAGGAGACCTGAAGAAGAGGGCAGATTTGACGCAGCTGGGGCTACAGAGGGTTTGTGGGTGTTGGAACCAAATCTAGGTCCTCCGGAAAAGCAGCAAGAGTTTTAAACCACTGGTCTCCACTGTCCCTAGATGCACACATTTTTTTCAGTTTCCATCCCTCGTTTATTGTTCCCCACCAGCATGATGAGGAATAGAATTATGGCTGTCGATATTCATAACTTCTTCCTGATTTTATGTGGACAAAATTTAGTGCTTCTCAGGAAGGTACATTTTCCTTGTAGTGTTTTTATACTGGGAACTTTTATAAAGAGCTTATGTTAAATTAACACAGTTGTGTGAATACTGACATTAATTAGTACATTTATCTATTATATCGCTGATATCTTGGAAATAAATGTTACATTAGAACTGTCGGAATTATTTTGGTTGATGTACCAGGTGTTTTTTCAAAGTACTTCCTATTAGGCACTGGAGGAATGTCTCAACATGTAAAATACTTACCATATGGGCATGAGGACCTAAGTCCCAGTGTTCAGATCCTACATAAAACATCAAAGATGACAGCACATGCTTGTAATCCCTGTCCTAGGAAGGCAAAGACTGGTAAGCCATCTTGACTGTTGTGGATATCGTTCCGTATAAATAAAACACTGATTGGCCAGTGGCCAGGCAGGAAGTAGGCGGGACAAGGAGAGAGGAGAATTCTGGGAAGTGGAAGGCTGAGTGAGGGAGACTGCCTGGAGCCGCCACCAGGACAAGGAAGATGTAAAGTACTAGTAAGCCATGAGCCACGTGGCAAAGTATAGATTAATAGAAATGGGCTAAAGTAAGAGCTAGACAATGATAGCCCTGAGCTAATGGCCAAGCAGTTTAAATAATATAAGTGTCTGTATGTTTATTTTATAAGTGGACTAAGGGACTGCCAGGGCTTTGCAGAACCCGGGGAGAAAACTCCAGCTACATTGATTGCAACGGTGAGCTCCAGTTTAGTTAAGAGACCCTGTGGTTGTAGAGCATTTTAAGGTCTGTTACTTTTGTTTATGTTACATTTGTTTAACTCTGTGAAGCTGTGTAACTGTGCCTGTCTAAAACACCTGATAGTCTAGTAAAGAGCTGAATGACCAATAGCAAGGCAGGAGAGAGGATAGGAGGGGCTGGCAGGCAGAGAGGATATAGAGAAGGAGAGATTTAGGAGTGCGGAACGGAGGAGGACATCTGGGGCCAGTCACCCAGCTACACAGACAGCCATGGAGTAAAAGTAAAAGTAAGATTACAGAAGAAAAGGAAAAAGCCCAGAAACAAAAGGTAGATTTGATAATTTAATGTTGAGAAAAGCTGGCAAGAAACAAGCCAAGCTAAGGCCGAACATTAATAATTAAGAATAAACCTCCATGTGTGATTTATTTGGGAGCTGGGTGGCAGGACCCCCAAAAGAGCAAAAGCAAACAACACCCCATCTCAGGAACTAAGCAGGAGAGTGACTAAGGAAGTATCTGAGGTCAACCTTCCCCCTCCACATGTACTGTGCACACACAGACACATCAACCACACACATGTATTTTCTCTTAGGAAGACATTTGATGTAAAATGTGGGATATCCCACATTTTACATCAAATGTCTTCCTAAGAGAAAATACATGTGTATTATATATATATATA